AAATCCCAAATCCCAAATCCCGGATGCCGGCGTTACCGCAAAGGATTTTTTAATTTACAGCAGAAATAGGAAAGTTCCAGAATTCCGTACAAAACGCGCTATGGACAATAAATACAGTACAAAACCCGCCGGAATTCCGGGAATTCCGGGAATTCTCCGCTCGGAAAGTCGGGAATTTGGGGGATCTCCTATTGGAAATTCGGGATTTTTGGGGATTCTCCGCTCGGAAATTTGGGAATTCTCCTCTCAGAAATTTGGGGATTCTCCTCTTGGAAATTTGGGAATTCTCCTCTTGGAAATTTGGGATTTTTGGGGATTTTCCACTCGGAAATTTGGGATTTTTGGGGATTTTCCACTCAGAAATTTGGGGATTTTGCACTCGGGAATTCGGGATACGGAATTCTCCTCTCAGAAATTCGGAAATTCTCCACTCGGAAATTTGGGATTTTTGGGGATTTTCCACTCACGAATTCGGGATACGGAATTCTCCTCTCAGAATTTTGGGAATTCTCCTCTTGGAATTTTGGGGAATTTTGGAATTCTCCTCTCAGAAATTTGGGGATTTTGGCACTCGGGAATTCGGGATACGGAATTCTCCTCTCAGAATTTTGGGAATTCTCCACTCGGAAATTTGGGGATTCTCCTCTCGGAAATTTTGGGAATTCTCCTCTCAGAAATTTGGGGATTTTTGGGAATTATCCCCTCGGAAATTTGGGAATTTTAGGAATTCTCCTCTCAGAAATTTGGGGATTTGGGGAAATTGGAGAATTTTCCACTTCGAAATTCAGGAATTTAGGGAATTTTCCTCTCAGAAATTTGGGAATTTTCCACTTAGGAATTCTTTCTGAAATTTATGAATTTTGGAAATTCTCCTCTCAGAAATCTGGGAATTTTGGGGATTCTGCTCTCAGAAATTCGGGAATTTTGGGAATTTTCCACTCAGGATATTTCAGGAGTAGGGAATTCTCCTCTCAGAAATTCGGGGATTTTGGGAACTCTGGGAATTCTCCTCCCAGAAATTGGGGGATTTGGGGATTTTGGGAATTCTGCCCTCAGAAATTTGGGGATTTTGGGAATTCTGCTCTCAGAAATTCAGGAAT